CAGGAATCGCATACATCAGCTAAGGAGGGGATGATTTTTCAGAATACGCATGCGGGCCTCAGGCACTGTGGCTTTCAGACCTGTGCTGTCCCTCCGGGGCCAGGGGGGCCAGGCGGGCCAGGCGGGCCAGGCGGGCCAGGCTCGGACCATCTATTCTGCCTGAGCTTCCTCCTCATGGCCCGCTCTGTGGGCTCCCGTGGGAATGGCGCCCCCTGCAGCCCACTCCCAGGATGCACCGTTCCTACGGCAGGTCTGCGTCCCAAACCCCGGATCTGAAGGATCTCAGGCCCAGATGCCTGTGACTTCGGTCCCAGCCTTACAGAGCTGTCACAGCTCATCTAACGTGACAGGGCTTCCCAGCAACGCTCACCTCGACTGGGCCTCCTGGGCAACTAGTTTTCATCCACAAAAGTTTATGTTCATTATATGTCATGACATCTAATTAAACCTTTTTCTTAAAATGACGAGCATGATTGGAAGCTGTGGCTTTGGGAACGAAAGAGGTGACTGTGAGAGGCGTCCCCTCACTGGGCAGGAGCAGAGGGGCAGGGGCTTCTCAAGGGGACCTGGGTGTGTCACGGATTTTGTGGAGGGAGTGGACAGCACGGCCAGGCGCTGGCCCAGACGCCCAGGGACAGCTAGCTGTGTGAGTGGCCTGAGGATTCGGTGGTCACATCACCTGGGTGAACCCGGGTGCAGCACTGACCCGACCACAGATTCAGTGCCCAGTGCTCTCACCCAGCCGCGCCCACCCGTGCCGGGAGCTGTTTCAGACCTGGGACACTCACAGATGCTCAGACAGCCACTGGCTCAGGAAGAAAGTGGTCAGAGCACTTAGCTAAGCAGAAGGCAGTGTCACCTGCTGGGACGGAGGATGCAAGACAGAGCTGGGAGATGGTGCAGGCTCCAGAGGAGGCAACGCTCCTGGGCTCAGGGAGGGGCAGTGAGCGAGGGCCCCCACGCTGAAGCAGTGGGTACATCCCGGGCTGGCCAGAGGGGACCACGCTCCCGGCCAGTGGAAGGGGTCAGGGAGGGGGGACACACAGGAGGCACAATGCAGGGGAGCCTGTGTCCGGGAGGACCTGTGGCTTTTGGACCTGAAGCCACGGGTCTGGCTTGTGTTGGGACAGCTGAAAGGACTGTGACCAGGAGATCCAAGGGGGACACAGGCTCTCAGTGACCTTAGCAAGAGGCCAGCTTGCAGTTCCCGAGCCAGGCAGCAGGGGGCGCCCAGAAACCTCCTGACGGGAGCGTCTGCAGCGCTGGCTGGGCAGGACATGCAGCAGCCCCCACCTGGTCCAGGTGACGCAGTAGAGGAAGGAAGGGTCCCCAGACCAGCTGCCCTGGCTTGCTCCCTTCCCACGCTGCTGGCAGAGAGCCCTGAGGCCCACCCTTCTTTCTGCCCAGTGAGCATGGGAAGAGAAGCAGACAGGTGACCTTTGTCACTTGGCTTATCGAGACCTGTCTTGTGTGACCAGAGCTTCTTCTCGCCCCAGGCAGGTGGGATCTTCAGAGGCCTCTGATGCTTCGACAGGGAGAGTCCTGTACAGGACCGGGCACCTGACCCACCGCCCGGGCCAGGGGTGTAGCCCAGGCTTCGGAGCAGAATCACCTGGAGGTTCCGCATAACCCAGCCCGGGCCCCATTCTGGACCCACTGTTAGAATCCCACCCTAGGAGATGGGGGGCTGGAATCCCCACTGCTTGAGAGCTCTGCAGCTGGTCCCGATACGCAGCCAGGTTTATGAACCTTGCTTTAGACGGTGGCTCTCGAAGTCTGGCCCCAGACCCACTCTGCACCCCTGGTAACATGATAGAAATGCAGAGTCCTGGGCCCACTCTGAGCTCTTGAATCAGAACTCTGAGAGGTGGGGGTCCAAGGTTCTGCATTCTAACATGCCCCAGGCGATTCTGACACTGCCCCGTTGGGAATCTGACCGCGCCTCGATGCTTAAGTGTGCACTGAGGCCAGCAGCATGGGCAGCCCCTGGGAGCTTGTTAGAAATGCAGAGTTCCAGGCTCTTCTGCCGACCTGCTGGATCAGAACCTGCATTTTAACTGGCCCCCTGGGTGATTTGTGGCTCTGAGAAGCCCACTGAACAGGGACAGCACAAGGCTGGGTCTCGGAGCCCCAGAAAGAGCATCGCGGGAGGTTTCTGGGTGAGGGGGCAAAGGGGTCGCCCTCCGGGGGACAGAAGAGTAGAGCTCCAGGCGGGGTTCTCCAGGTGGGGTTCGCCAGGCGGGGTGCTCCAGGCGGGGTTCTCCAGGCGGGGTGCTCCAGGCGGGGTGCTCCAGGCGGGGCTAGGGAAGGTCTGCACGCAGGCCGGCAAGGAAGAGGGGCCCGAAGGACTCGGGAAGGGGGAAAGGTGCAGGGCGGACGTGGGAGCTGGCGCGGTAGCCACAAAGACCGAGGTCGGCCCCGGACGGCACGCTGGAATGCTAAGTAATAGGAAGCTGCCGGCAGTCATTTTTAAAAGTTTTTTTTTCTACATAAAAGTAATAAATTAAGGAAAATATATATACCCCAAAAGAAGAAAAACGTATATTCCCATAGCTCCGGCCCTCAACACCATCACCGCTCATTACCCATTTTTCCGGCTACAGCTTTTTAGTGAGTAAATGGGTATAAAGATGCAGTGCATGTACTTTTATTTCATTTTTCCTAACATCAGAGGAATTTTTTCACGTCACCTTCAGACATGGGATTGTTGATGAGGGACAGTGAGCCGCGACTCTCGGGCGTGGTGATGGATGGTGGCAGGACCCGGCTGGCCTCCTCTCCTCCACGGCCCGGGCAGCTCCCCGCCTCCCTGCCGAGCCCAGACCCCCGCGGCAGCGGGCTGTACCCCACGGACAGAGAGCCTCGCCTCTCCTGCCCCCCGCCAACACTGCGGAAACCCCATGCCCTATAACCTGCCTGGCAGCCCCGTCGGACAGAGGGCCCGGGGACCAGCGTGTTCGGGGCAGAATCAGGAATCGGTTCTCGGGCTTGGCATCCGTGGTGCCGTCTGCAGTGGTAAAAGGGACCGCAGTCCACGGCACGAAGCGCGAACTAGATCACGGAGCCAAGAGCCAGCAGAAGGGGAGGCTGGGTGACCGGGGAGCCGACGCCACAGCCCACTGCGCGGAAGCCCGGCGTAAGGATGGCGGGTTGGCTGGCAGCTTCTACGTGTGCCGAGAATTTGGGGGAAAGAAAATGATGAGCTCAGAGCTGAAAATTTCCAGTCCGAGGGGCAGATAGGGAACCAGGAAGCTTCTAGGCTGTGCTGGAATGAAAGGGCCCGCCTGCCAGGCGGCCCCCGGCCGGCGTCGGGAACTCGGACTTCAGAGGGTCCCCAGCCCCTCGCGGACAAGAGGGCCTCGCTGCAACGTGCGGGTCAGGCCGAGCCCGCTTCCTCCCGGGGCCTGACGGAGCGCGCCGTGACCCGCGTCCTCATGGGCGTCCCCGGTCCTCACGCATATCGTCACAGCCGGGGGCGGGGGACGAAGCGTGGCCCGTGTGGCTCCACGAGGAGGGGGCTCTGGGGGCCGCGCCTGGGCCCCCACTTCTCCCCGTGTACCTCTTCCTTCCGTGCGCTTTGTGCCATTTCTGGGATCTGTAAGTCCCGGGAGCCCCCGCAGCGAGCCTGGGGTGGTCTCGGGGACCCCGACACAACTGCCCTGAAAGAATTCGTTTCCTCTTATAGGCGCGGGGTCCAGATTTCTGAAAATAAAACCCAGAGTCCCACCTGGCAGTTGGCGGCGTCGCAAAGCGGGTTGAACCGACGACCTTTCAGGGCCTCTCCTGAAAGCTGGGGGCTGTTTGGGAAAGGAGACCTTCGTCACTTGGATGGGGACAGGCGGGCAGACTGTGAGGAAGCCGAATCCTTGAATTCTGCTGAGCCTCCTCTGCCAGGAGCATCCTCCCCGCTGTCTGGGAGATGTGACCCAAAAGGTGAGAGACAAAGCGGGACCCCAGGAGGCAGTGCGCAGGCTCTGTCTCCCCGTGTGGGTTGTGTAAACATGATGTGATTTTGGATAGGCCTGAAGGGTTGGCTCGGGGCCACTTGGCAGACACTTTGGGTTCACAGGGTGACAAGGAGCAGCTTTCTCTGTTTGTACGAAGGTTGCTGATGCAGGACGCTGAGATACCAGGACCTTTGTCCCTGAAAGGGGCAGATGCCCAGAGGCTTGGGGAGGCCGGGGTGTGTGCTAGATGGACCTGCTGTGTGTGGGCTGTGGGGTGGCTGCCCTGGGCATGGCTCTGGGTCAGGTGGGTGACCAGATCCCTCAGGGCGGGGCCATGAGGCGCGGCCACCGTGGGCCTGACCCACAGAGACCCTCGGTGTCGCCGATGGTGCCCTGGGGACCTGGAAGAGCCACCGTGGGACTACGGACTTAATCGCCATGT